GCGATTGGTCAAGCTGCGCGCGCGGAGACTCTATGCTGACAGTCACGATTAATAGCAGGCACCCCGTAGATTTGAATAGCGTTATTTCTATGTTAAATTTCTACGCATATTACAGAGTCCATCACCGTCGCAACAAAACTTTCCTGGAAATGAAGTATAAGTGGGAATTACCAGGCGGCGCAAAGGCCCTCTAATTCCACAAAAATAGACGAAAAGCCAAAGGGCAGTAACATTATTGGGAGGAGAGAGAGGGGGTATCTTTTCAAAATGAATTTAAAATAAAAGCACTCTTTAATTCTGCAAAGCTAGAGCCCTAGAGAGACAGTGGAATAAGGAGAATTTACTCAATTCTAGCGATTACCAAATAGGTTGGAACCTTTATGAGATCGCGAGTTTATCATGCCATCATGAGAAAATTTCTGTGAAATCCTAATTTGATTATATGCAATTGGCACGCCCTACTTTCCGCTTGTCGTAAAACCATTTAGACATGAAAGGGTTTAAAAAATCAACACTTTTTCAACATAAGCAGAAGTCAAAAGTTTAAGGAGAGCGTCATTTACCAAAGCGGTAAGAATCTTCAACAAAGCCGCGTGCTACATCACGCTTGGTCCTGCCTACGCTCTCCAACAATCGTGTAAATAAAGAAAGACGTTTATTAAAAGCCGAATTTTCGTTTTTAAAAAAAGACAAGTTCATATTTAAAATTGATAAGGACAAAGAAAACAAATTTTCTTACATGTGAATAGCCGTAGACCAGGATCTCTTTTGCGGTATCGTCATGTTTGATCCTGCCTCCTCCAACACACTTCAACCTGAACCCCGAGCCTACGACGTCTTGGGTCGCGTCCAGAATATCAACGTGGAAATGACATCTGTAATATCCGCGGACTATGTGCTTCTCCTCTTTTGAAGATTTGTCCGTACACTAAAGACAACATTAATAATGGTACACAAAGAAATGAATCCAATAAATTATTATGCGGCATGGTAATGGTCACCATAGGTGAAACATTGGAAAATTTTCTTGGACGAATGAATATCGAAATTCCGTTCAAGAATATCCGAAAGTGTACATAATTCAAATCGCCTAAATATATAGGAATTCAAATATATTGGGGA